TTTTTTAAAAAGTATTACCAGTATAAGCTAAATAAACATCTTTATTGCCATGTTCATCCAATGTAAACAATGCATGCATGCCATGAGGAAAAAATATATATGTACAGCATCACGACAAAACCAACGTAATGCGTTTGCGACAGCATGGATCCAGACCAGCCTGCACATCCACGCAGTCTGATCAGGATCCATGCTGTTCGCTATCAGTTTCTTTAGTACTTGTAATAGAGTTTGTAAGCAAACAGCATGGATCACATGTACTTCCATGCAACACAAACTCTACAATTCTTGATCATTATGTCATAATTATGTGTGTCCATCTTTTGAGATAAGCCATAACTGTAGAGAGATATTATATCATTACCTTCTGTAAAATTGACTTCAGGAAGCACATTCCACGACGTTTTTTGTTCTTCTTTCTTAGGTTTTATAAACCGTTGAAGTCTAAAGTCATTTGGCAGTTTACGTGTCGGTTTCCATTCTGGTTTTGGAGGGTGAATATATGTCTGAGGGTTTTCTATTTGTATGCCCTTTTCTGTAAACATATACAAATATCTTTAGTTATTTAGGTCTTCATGTCCAACATGTATAGTGTCCCTCCATGCAAAATCATGTTGTTTTTTTTGGTTATAAATTAAGGGTGTACCTGAAACAAATCACATACCTTATATAAACATGGATAGCTTCATTCACATGAAAAATTCCTAGTACCAGGCAGGATTTTAATTTACAACTGTGGTATGGGAGAGTCAATGTTGCCACAAGGTCTCAATTTGCTATAATGAATGCAGTACAATGTCACAAAACTAAGAATTAATGTCATTAATTTATTTCAAAATCTTACCATCAGATTTACCTGGATTATTTACATTTATGTTTTCTCTTTATAAGGATCAAGGATGATACATGTAGTTACCCTGATTAAGGAAAGTAACCTTGTTCCATAACTATCATATTTTTTAGACAAATCAAACTTTTTGAACAACTCTGATAGGTACATGTACATCATACTACATGTAGTACATGTAGTTTTTCAATGTGAAATACAAATTACTATCAAAATCAACAGAAATAAATACTGCAAAATAGAACTCATCAAACAGTTTCCTTGAATAGTTTTAACAAATCAAAAACAACAATATTGAGTAAACGCAGTAAACATTTTTGTAAGAATTTTTCGTAAGTCTGACTACCATTTCTTACTTGAATTTCCTTTAAAAACTTTATTTTATTCCTTTTGTCCTTTTGGTTGCCAGGGCACAGTTCTGTTCAAAATGTAAAAATTGTTGAACAACATTGAAAAACACCAGCTAAGATTTAAAGAAACATCTCTATCAAGTTTTGATCCAGAGATTAAGGAAAATGAGGACAGAAGGAAAATGTGGACAGAAGGAAAGTAAAGACATAAGGAAAATGTGAACAAAAGGAATGTGAGGACAGAAGGAAAGTGAGGACAAAAGAAAAGTGAGGACAGAAGGATAGTGAGGAAATATTAATAAGGAAAATATGGACAGAAGGAATGAAAATACAGAAGGAAAGTGAGGATAGAAGGAAAGTATGGACAGAAGGAAAATGTTGACAGAAGGAAAATGAGGACAGAAGGAAAATGAGGACAAAAGGAAAATGTGGACAAAAGGAAAATGAGGACAGAAGGAAAATGAGGACAAAAGGAAAATACTTCAAAAGAAAAAAGAGGACAGAAGGAGAATGAGGACAGAAGGAAAATGTGGACAAAAGGAAAATGAGGACAGAAGGAAAGTATGGGTAGAAGGACAAAAGGACGGACGATACTGCCTGATCACAGTAATTCATCTTTATCAAATATATAACATATTATGCTCTGGTAAGATTAAAATACAACTATTTTTTTAATTGATATATGCAGCATTAAGTAAACTATTCCCCTATGTTGAGGTCCTATCATTATATAAGTTATACAATGGAAGATAGCATTTCTTTTATGAACCTTATTACTATTAGGCTTAAACACGTACCTCCCATTAATTAGTTGGACAGCTCTCTGTTTACCAAACTCATTTTGTTAAACTTCAACTAAGCTCAGGGTCAAAAACAATTTCAGAGAAACTATAATTAATTAATTCTCATTAAAGTTGTTGGACTTATTTAACCCTGTACCTCCTGAATTTCTGTATATGATTGTCCCTGCTTTGAATTTGTAACAGTCTATTTTAAGTTTATGGGATTTCAATTTCAAAATACAGAAATTGAGCTACCAACAGTATAGAGCCTGGTCAGACTACATAGATGTGCTGGCTGACCTGGCTCTTTACTGGTGGCGAAGGCTTATCACCTTTGATTCCAGTAGGTCAAGTATTTATGAATTTACATAGATATATGGTAAAAAATAAACATAGACAAATTCTAATGAAAGATGTAGGACTTGTTTAACAGTACTTACACTTTTTATGAATTAAAATATGGTCTACATACTTGTAAGTATTCTAGGTCCATTCACTGATTTTCCATTGATTTGGTAGTGTCCATGCTTTTCCCTCATATACTTTTGTCTCCGTGCATAATTAATAGCAAATTTTGGTAATGATAAACGCACCATGTTCTTGCCTTTGTCACTCTCCAAGTACCATAATCTGAATCAAGATGAAACAAACACAAAGAATAATATATTATGTTTAAAACAGATAACACAATGGCGCAGGAGTGTAATAAAGCCATGTTAAGTGGCAGGATGGCTGAGTGGTTAACACTAGTGGCAGGATGGCCGAGTGGTTAACACTAGTGGCAGGATGGCCGAGTGGTTAACACTAGTGGCAGGATGGCCGAGTGGTTAACACTAGTGGCAGGATGGCCGAGTGGTTAACACTAGTGGCAGGATGGCCGAGTGGTTAACACCAGTGGCAGGATGGCTGAGTGGTTAACACTAGTGGCAGGATGGCCGAGTGGTTAACACTAGTGGCAGGATGGCTGAGTGGTTAACACTAGTGGCAGGATGGCTGAGTGGTTAACACTAGTGGCAGGATGGCCGGTTGGTTAACACTAGTGGCAGGATGGCTGAGTGGTTAACACTAGTGGCAGGATGGCCGAGTGGTTAACACTAGTGGCAGGATGGCCGAGTGGTTAACACTAGTGGCAGGATGGCCGAGTGGTTAACACTAGCAGTGATTAATCTAGAAATTCTTTACAATGCGTCAGATGACGCACATGTTTGAAAACAATGAGTCCTTTAGCAAAATCAATGAGTCATGTAGCAAAATAAATGCGTCTTAGCAGAATTTTTTTTTAAATAGCAGATCCTTGACATGATTTTCATGTTTTTATAACAAGCGATTAAATAATTAAAGTGTATAAAAAAGTTTTTTTTGGTACTAATATTAATTTCAGGCAAAACAATTTTTATTGGCTGCTCAAAAATCTAATTTGCATAATTTATATTTTCTTACTACTTATGTCTATTACTGTGCATTATCCATTTTAATTGTTCGTAATTTGCACAAAATGTCCCTATCACACTGTATACATACTGATGACTTTTATTGCTCCTTGTATGCCTCTGTGTAGAAAGCATACACAGATCTGCACAAAGTTTCCCTGATTGGTTAATCACCCTGTCAAATATTTTGATGACGTAATAGACATCTTTTTTTTTACACTCCGCGTGAACTTGAGTGACCTTAGGGGAATTCAATTTACACAGATCTGTCAGATTATAGAATCTACTGTAACTTACAGCATTTCTTAAAATAGCAACACTTTTTTTTTCAGTTACCGATATTTATTTAAAATATTAAGTAGATTAATGATTTTTTGTTTGCTTTATTGGATTAAATATGCTTATCTGTGTTGGGAAAGGGATAAGGTAAGTAGATAACTTGGAAAAATGCTATAGAGAAATGGATAAACTCAAGAATATGCGTAATTACAGGGGAATGGGTAACCTGTTGCTGTTGGTACCAGTTTTGTCTGGATGACTTATTAACATACAATATAAGTCTGGTACAGATTTTAGATGCACCCTTGGCCCTTTGCTGACGATTTTCCTGTGCCATTCTCATTTTTAGCGCCAATGGCGCAGGCAGATCTCTGCATATTTCACCATTGTAGGCGATTCGCTCTCATGCAAAATGGACGCTCTGATTGGCTAATGCCGATAATGGGCGGTTACCTATCACAGGGATTTAACGTTTCAAGCAAATAGGGGATAATTCTTGCACAAGTAATCATCGGAAATTAAATTATTCAACTGAAGAAATTGAAAAAATATTCAACTGATGAAATTAAAGTAATCAAACAGTACATAGAAATCACTAATCGTGATATTTTGGATTATAAACCACCTGATTTGCATGCGTCAAATTGAACGCACTTATTTTGAAACTGTGCGTCTTTTTCGATTTTTATGCGTATTTTACGCAAGACGCACATCTAGATTAATCACTGACTAGTGGCAGGATGGCTGAGTGGTTAACACTAGTGGCAGGATGGCCGAGTGGTTAACACTAGTGGCAGGATGGCTGAGTGGTTAACACTAGTGGCAGGATGGCTGAGTGGTTAACACTAGTGGCAGGATGGCTGAGTGGTTAACACTAGTGGCAGGATGGCTGAGTGGTTAACACTAGTGGCAGGATGGCTGAGTGGTTAACACTTCGGACTAGTAATCTTATGATCGCTAGCCGCATGGGTTCAAACCCTGACAGGACAAGTCATTGTTTCCTTGAGCAAGAAATTTTACACTCATTGCTCAGTACTGGTTGGTTCCAGGAACAGATTCGTAAGTGTGTTTATAAGCTAATAGGTTCCTACACAATCAAAATAAAATAAATTCTGTATAAACCAAAGCCATGTAATAAAAGGGATATTACACTAGTCTAATAACACTTTGACAAGATGTCATTTGCGTTATATACAAATATAGAGTTAAAGCACACTTATGTTAGCATTACACTGACTGTGGGGGCAGAATGAAAAATGGCTCTTTTTAACTATAAACTGTTGTTATTTTTGAATATGTGATAAATGGAAAATTATATTCATGTAGATTCAATTATAAATTCATTGAACTTGATAAAGTGATGCTTTTTCTATACCCTGTGCTTTTTCTATACCGTTTTCAAGACAAGACGCCAATGTGATAACTTGTAGTTACTACAATGTCTGTACATGTGTTTTTTTTCATACAAATTCAAAATACTGTACAGGACTAACAGTGAGGGACACCCGACATATTTTCTGCCTTGTTTCCTGCAATTTGCTCTTTCAAAAGATTAAAGATAAGTCAATGTTGGAATGAATTATAAAAGTATACAGTCCTGAGCAATTATTGCACAGTGATGCTTATCATGCTAAGTAGACAAATGTTTCCACCCATATGCATGGCTGCTGAAAATTATTAGCCAATCAGAGCATCGTTTTTATAGAAGCATGAATCGATAATTATACAAGTGGTCTGTAACTTTTTTTAATTTTGTGGAAATTTTTCATTAAAATTTTATGCATTGTTTGTGATAAGGTAAACATGTTATTATACGAGAGCGACAGTTAACAAAGCACTGCACTGTCAGTGTTTAATTTACCCTTGTAATAAAAGTGTGCAAAGGAGATTTCACAACAAGCTATGGCTGCTGTGTCTATATTTAGTGACATCTTGGGTTTTTCCAGTATCTTAGCATTGCCATCGGCATCCAACAGTCATAGTTCCCTTGCTGATTATTAAAAGATTAATTTCCAGGTACAACTTCAAAATATTTTGAAACACAATGTCTGGTAAATTAAGTTGTCTGCACAATTATTTTCTCTTATAATGCCCTTCTTTGAAGACACATTGTTATGGTCAAAATGTTAAATTTTGTGTCTGATAAAGTAATGGTTACGTGTATTAAGAACCCAAAAACTATTGAGTAAAGTTACATTCTTTTTATGGTTTGAATAAAAGTTATAGCAAAAAAACACCAAATTTTTTCCAGTAATATGAAAGATCCCACAGTAACAACCAAATGCATGGTTTATGAAGCATGGTAAAACATTTGCTACAATTGAAAAATCAACACTAGCACAGTCCAAAGGAGCATGACCACCAAGTCTAAAGCATAAGAAAGAATCTCAAGATTATCAAACAATATTAAATAACATAATGCACCCCTCTGAATTTGTTTTGTCCCGTCACTTTAAGGGGTCAATGTCAGATTATGAATATGATGCACCTCAGAATAAACTCTGGTATCGCATATTTTCCTTCAAATTACTTATGATGACCTTTGAGTAGATGAAGGTTAGTTCCCACCTGACTATAGCCTATGTTATAAACTCCTTGGTGAGAGTTGTTCATAGTTACATAAAAAACAAGAGGGCCATGATGGCCCAAAGTCGCTCACCTGTATATAGGCCCCCCGGAGCGGGGCCAGTTTAAACCCCAGGGCTTTTATTTGAACAAACTTGGTTGACACCCATTAGAAGATGTTTCATGCTAAACATCTAAGGTCTAGCTTATTGGGTTTTCTAAAAGAAGATTTTTTATGTCTATATATATATATATATATATATATATATATATATATATATATATATATATATGTGTGTGTGTGTGTGTATGTATGTGTATATATATATATATATATATATATATATATATATACATATTTTATATATATATATATATATATATATATATATATATATATATATATATATATATATATATATACATACATACACAATATTGGTTCCTTACATATATATATATACATACATATATATATATAAGATATATATATATATATATATATATATATAATATGTATATATATATATATATATATAATATGTATATATATATATATATATGTATGTATATATATAATATGTATATATCTAAAAAAAAAGTCGAGCTAATGAATGACCCCCGGGGCGGGGCCATTTTTGACCCCAGGGCTCTTATTTGAACGAACATGGTAGACACCCATTAGAACATGTTTCATGCTAAATATCTTAGCTCTAGCCCTTTGGGTTCTTTCAAAGAAAATTTTTTTAGTTTTACTATATGCATATAGGGAAAATCAATGACCCCCTGGGGCGGGGCCAATTTTGACCCCAGGGCTTTTATTTGAACAAACTTGGTAGACACATATTAGAAGATGTTTTATGCTAAATATCTTAGCTCTAGCTCTTTGGGTTCTTTAAAAGAAGATTTTTTAAGTTTTTACTATATACATATAAGGAAAATCAATGACCCCAGGGCGGGGCCGATTTTAATTCTAGGAACAAAATTTGAACAACTTTGGTTTTGGATCTATAGATGATAACCATAGACCAAATATCAAAGCTCTAGGCCATTTACTTTCAGACCATAAGATTTTTCAAGTTTTCACTATATGTATATAATGAAAATCAATGACCCCCGAGGGCGGGGCCAATTTTGACCCGAGGGCCATTATTTCAACAATCTTGATAGAGGTCTACTACACAATGTTTCATGCCAAATATCTAATCTGTAGCCTTTGCCAAATCAGAGAAGAAGATTTTTTAGATTTTACTATATACATATAAGGAAAAACCTATGACCCCCGGGGCGGAGCCAATTTTGACACTAGGGACAAAATTTGAACAACTTTGGTAGAGGACCCATAGATGATACCATATACCAAAATC